AGATGACATTCCCTGAGTTGAGGGAGGAGGCGGAATTTGGTGAAGATGACCAGGTGGACTCATCCTGAGTCTGTGGTTAGCTTCTAGGAATCGTTCAAGAGTGAAAGAATTCCAAAGGGTTTCCCCTTCAAGAATTATTTTGAAGAATTCGATGAACTCTTCAGATGGGAGAGTGGAAGCGACGAAAGCTGCGAAATGAAACAACTGTGTTAGTCAATAAAGATAAAGAAACAACTGGGAAAGATACGGGCGACCTAATCACTACCGGGTTTCGCAGACCACTTCGAAGGGAGAAAATCTGCAAGATTTCCAATCGAAGCGGGAGTTTTCTTAATCAGAAACCAAGGATGATGCCAATTTTCATCCTTGTTCGGAAGATGTGAAATGATGTTCCTGTTGGCATTAGGATATGCTGAGAAATACCCCGTTTTCTTCGAAGAACTTCTCACGCTTAGAAGCTCATTTAGTTCAGTAACTCCGACAACGTAACCGGCCTCCGCCGCGATTGTTATAATTCCAAGAATAGTACGGAGGAGATTGGGGGTTAATTGAGGAAGAGCGATTTCAAGAGCCGCTAGGTATAGAACTAGGGCTTCGGGAAGAGGAAAGGTCAGCCCGCAACCCTTGAAATAAATCTCGTACACACAGAAGTAACCATCGCGATGGTTCTCTGGGGATTCTGTGGGGGAAGCTATTTGTGCTTCCGCCATAATTTCCGGCGGAATCCGGCAAAGCTCTCTCAACCGTTCGAGGGATTGAAGAGTACAAGTGGACCTATAGTGCGGACCGGCAATATCATCAGAGCGGGTGCACTCATCATTGCTAGAACGCCTCTCATCGAAAGACGGAGACTCGGGTCTATCGGAATCGGAAGTCATTGGGAAGAAGGAAAAATTCAAGATCCGGCGAAAAGAGGTTTTTGTGAGGAAACAAAGAGAGAAGTTCCGATTAAAGTACAAAAGTAAAAGAAGAGAGTAATGGTGAAAAGAAGTTACCTCAAGCTAATGATGAAACCGCCTCGGAAGTTGTGTGGGAAGTGGGAAGGTTTTTTTCCCATTTTAATAGTAATTAATCAATATACGGTCATAATGATGACAGATGTCACTGGGTTAAGAATGGTTAGTGCCGAAATTAAAGGAGTGATGAGATTTTCGGCGGGAAATCAGAAAGATTCTCGAGCGCAATCTTTGGCCACTTGAGCATTTAAAGTCCTCCGAATTGGAATAGCACTTCGAAGAACTTGGGGGGCTAATTGTTGGTGTCGGATCCCGCACCAGAAGTCCGTGACCAACCAAAGATTGCCACGTAGTCAAAGTAATGGCCCATAAAGGATGAAGCCCATTGGACCCATGGGCCGAAGGAGCGGTCGAAGTGGTTGTCACTACCTCGAGAATCCGAAGTGACTGCACTGTGACACGAGTTCGGTGTAGAAGACACGGGTAAGCCGGCTCAAGGACACTTGGGCCAAAAAGGCGAGGCCCATGAAGATCAGAGTCAACTCAAAATTCAAACGTTGAGCATTAAAGTCAAAGAATCAAAACAGACACATTTAAGAAGGAATAATTGTGCTTAATTACTCATTTTAATGTCGTTTCTCTATGTATAAATATAGAGGCCAATGGCCATGTAAGGGGTATCTTCCTCTCAAGAGAGAAATATTATAGCAATTTTCGTAGCAATTCACAAGTTTTTATACATTCATTTTTGTCCCTCAAGAATAATCTTTCCCACTTAATAAAATACTTGAGTGTGTGAATCCGACATCCACAGAAAGTAATCGGATTAGACGGAGAATAATCGAGTAACTGATTTTTTAGGGGATTAGTCATTAATCGAAACTGATAGGATAGACCTAGAGATTAAGCGGAGAGTATCGGAATAGGCGGAAATTTTTAATAGAGGTGCTTAATGAGAGTTCTTTGAAGTAACCTATTTCTTCGTCATTTGGCTCCGAATGGTAACTGCGTTTTGCGGTGCGGGAGAAGTGCGGTATTACATTGCGGTACGGTTCAACTGCGGGACGTGCGGGAGAAATATATTTGCGGGACAAGTGCGGTTTGTATAAAATTAGCGGTACAAAATAAAATTTGATTGGTGAAAAAAGCTATTTGCGGGACAAGTGCGGTTTTATATATATATATATATATATATATATTAATAATTATTTTTTTGTTAATAAATAAACAATAACATAAATTTATAAATAATTAGTAATACACAAATTGATCAAAATATAAATTTAATTTTTTGTTTTAAAATTTAAACCATATATTATAAATCAATATGTTAATATCACAGTATGAAATATAGTAGATCATTTAGTAAGTATATTATTTACACTAAAATTATTTAACAAAAAAAATAATTTAAATATTTATTATATAATTAATATGAAATCATTTAACCATATTTTTAATAAAAATGACTATAGTTTCTTTATATTTCTATAAATCTGTTTTTTTTCGTAATAAAACTGATTATTTTATAGTTTATGAAAAATAGTGAAGTAAGTTAAAAAAAAATTCTAAAAAAGACATGTTTAAAAAATTATGCATTATTAAGAGTTTTTTTGTTAAAAACTTAAAATATGTGCTGGTTATTAACTCCCATTTATTCTGAAAAAAAAAATTAACTCCCATTTACTAATTATTCTATAAATTAATAAGCTTTCCCATTATGCTCTCTGTATCAAACTTACACGTGACCACCATTTTGGTTATTTTGCTTTTTGTACTACCTATTTACAAATTAGTGACTGTTTCAGTTGTTAAAAAAAATAAAAATAAATAAAGAGATTAATATTTCGTTTTATCTACTGCGGAATTTGTAAAACCACTGGGTAATTGGTTGTTGGACAACACTACTGCGATCCAAGCGTTAAAACCTTGTTTTGAAAACCGTGAACAGATTTTTCTTTCTTTTTAAAAAACTGCAAATTACCTAAAAAGATAACTGATTGGTGACAAAAGACGTTTTTCAAAAACCACACTTGAATTCCGCACCTCTCCTTGTCACAAAAGATGTTTGGAATTGAACCTCCACCACTACAAGTGTGGGACCAAATGTTATTTTTTCTTTCTTTTCTCTTTTTTACTTTTTCTTGTCCGTCTATGTTTTTCATTTATCTCTATCTCTAAACATTATAAATCACTATTTTTTTTTTTTTTTAAATAAAGGGTTTTTTACAATCACTAAATTACATTGAGTAAAAGACAATTGATGTTGATAAAATTTGTAGGGAGCCTGATAAGTGAATAAAAATCAGGAAAAGTAGATATCTCAATATCAGTTACCATAATTTACCAAACTTTAAACTTCTTTTGTTTCTACAATAATTTTTCTACAAAAAATTTTGTTTCTTAAAGAGAAACCTCTTAGCTTTCCAATGTGTAAAATGATTAGTAATAACAAATTGAAACTTGAAAAAAGATTGATTAAAAATTAAATTTCTTGAATTAACTCCTTTTGTTCCTAATTAATCTAATTTTTAAACTTTTAACACATATTTAGAAAACAAATTACATATTTATTATAAATGCACCATTTTATTTGATTAATAATTTATAGTTAAACATTAATTATTTTTCAATATATCTAAAAACTCAAAATATACATTCTTTGAAAATAGAGGGAGTATAAGATTACAAACCATTTTATATTATTCGTTTAAATATATGAATTTTATATATTTCACACATAAATCATGATTCCTTTTTCAGTCACTATTTTAGTATTTAACTAAAAATATTATTTTTTGTTAAAGTTATCATAATCAGTCTGATTTCGATTATTTAAATATTTTTTTATTCTGAAATATTATTATTGAAACAAATTTTTTATACTTTTAGTCAATGTTCAAGAAAACGGTAGGCGCTAAGCAAGCGGTGACCGAGTGCCTAGTGTTTAAAACGTCTAATCGGAGTAGGCGATTTTAGGCGGTTTAAACGTTTATAAAATAAAACATTTTAAATATAATACTATATATAAAAGTTATATAAAATATCTATAAAAAACTAAAAAATTATAAACAAAAAGTAGATAAAACATTTATTTATATTTATACTAAACAATATATGAATATTTATATAATTATATATATATAGAAATAAAACTTAATTGAAATTAAAAAATACATTAAACAAAATCTATATAATTTTAGGTGGTCAATGTAGTTATCTAGACGTTGCATGAGAGCCTAGCGTCTAGTCGAAATTTAGGAGATTGTCTATACCGCTTTTTAAAATATTGCTTTTAGTGTTGAAAAACGTCGAGATCTAACTATAAAGTGAAAAGGAAAAATAAAAAGAAAATACGTGCATGGGGTATGTATGAAATATAATTTAGGGCAACCAATTATTAATTAACACGTAATCCAACCAAAAGTATGAGACTCTTTTAGAAAAAAAAAAAGAAAAAGAGAGAGATTCTTTTCTTTTCTTTTCTTTTTTTGTTTAAAAGGAGATTCTTTGGTAACACCGATACGTATTTTCATGAACGATGCAATTTGTAGTCTCCTGCATTCAGCGTCAATCAGTGCTCTAATCACAAAAATAAAATACTCTAGAAATTAAAAAAATTTATTATAATGTCGGCTGAGGAATAAAGAGCACCGACAGAAGAATGCATCTGCCTTTATTCTTTTGCTTTGGAATTTTAAATACAAAACTTTGTGATCTCTCTCTCTCTCTCTCGAAATATCTTTGACCTCACAGATTCATTTACTGCTTATAATTATGAGTATTTGCAGTAATAATAACGATTTGAAAATAATCATAATACTAGAAAAACGATATATTTCTCTACGAGAACTATGACATCATAATAGATAGAGTCCACTCTATAACTACGATCCAGATATACCTGAAAAAATACTTCTCGATCTATATCTCTCTAAATCGATAGTTTTCATCTGGTATCTCCCCTAAATAATAGTTCTCATCTAATTACACACGACCATCGGTTTTGTTTGGTTTATTGCTTGCTTAACCAATTTACAAAGATAATAAACCGGATTAAACCTAATATAAACCAGATTACAACCCGATTCTCTAATAAAATCGATTTCAACCCGTTTTGTCGTGCCCATCATCTTCTTCATCCGAACTCAGAGATGAAACAAAAGATTTCTTTTTAGTTTTTATTAATCGTCCTCCAAGAATTGAAATCTCTTTCACATTTTCGACCTATCGTTCTCTTCTCTCTCCATTATGAAGCAAAAATCAATCGTCCGTGTTCTTTAACCTCACGGGTTCCAGAGCCCAAAATCGAGACCAATGACTATCCATTCCACGGCAGAGCCACCACCGACGTTCGTTGTTGTCATCACAGCACATGAATTGCTGAAACAAAACAATCGGAGTCGAAGCAGATCCCAAATTCTAAGACGATATTCTCTACTTCTCTTGGTGATGGTTTAACAGAACGACAACGTATCTTGCATCAGCCATTAAAAATTTGAGTTTTCAGACTTTGTTTCTACTCAATACCATGCCGGTGAAATCATTGCGCTGCCAAATTCGTTAAAACGGTAAGCAAAGAGAAGAATATAAGCAAATTAAAAAGTGTCGAGAAAGGAGAAGAGATGAGATCATGAGACCTTAATCTAGAGCTATTGCCATTAGGAAGACCAAGAAGATTCGGAAGATGCTCACTGAAAAAAATGGAGAATTGAAACATAGAGAAATTGAAATTAACGTACGTGAGCGGAAACAAAAAACGTACTTGAGCGAAGGATAATGTGTGGGAATGAATCGGATGTATGAGAAACTCCACCATTGATGATACTAATTTTGAGAGAAATTCCACCATTGATGGTACTGATGTGGCATAAATTTCTACTCATGTTGCAGACGTCAATTTTTATCTCGACATGTCTTATTTTAGGTCAATCAGTTTTTTTTTTTTTTTTTTTTTTTTTTTTTTTTTTTTTTTTTTTTTCAGTTCGATTGGGTTTTAGAGTGGGTTAGATTGGTTTTCTATCCGGTTTGGTTCGTAAACCAATTAAACTCAGATTTATGGGGAAATAGATGAAAACTATCGATTTAGAGAGATGTAGATCGAGAAGTATTTTTTCGGGTACATCTGGATCGTAGTTATAAATTGGGCTCTATCTGTTATGATGTCATAGTTCTCGTGGAGAAATAAATCGTTTTTCCCATAATACTACGTTTTAGTGGACCGTATGTGACTTTGTTGAATCATGGGAAATTTTAGTCCAAACGTAGATATCAAAATAATAACGTTGTAGACAAAATATGGGTCCTGTAGCTAAAAGGATTAGCACGAAAAAGTTTGATGCGGACATATATACTATAATAAACTCAAGCATCTACAATGACATATATATATATATATATATATATTTATTATCGATGACTGATATTAATGATAGAGAAATTAGACTGTATGACCATAAAAAGTTTAATAATTCAGTAACTAACCTAAAAAAAAGTTGACTACAATATTCTATGTATAACATGTAATATATATTAATAATTCAGTAACTAACCTAAAAAAAAGTTGACTACAATATTCTATGTATAACATGTAATATATACTAATTTACCCTTTGTTCATATGTCACATCTTTTCTATGTATTTTTGTATTTTTCTTTCTTTCTCTCTAGATCATCAATTTATTTTTCTTTTGTCATATCAATTGTAACCATTATCTATCATTAGTACATCATTATCATCATCACCACCACCATCACATCATCAACACCACCACCGCCGTAACTGCTACGACCAACACAACCACCATCATCATGCCCTCACCATCACCATTACAACCACTACCATCATCCCCATGTCATCACCACCACCATGTTGTCACCACCACGGTTATCGCAATAATCGTCATCACGATAACCACCATCACCACTACCACACATTCACCATCACCACATTACCACCCGTAGTCACTACCGCGCCGTCACAACCGTGCCATCACCACCATCACAACGTGATTAAAGCCACCATCGTAACCACCACTGTCATCACGTCTTCACCACTAAAACCACCACGCCGATACTATTTACTGCCGATATCATCATCGCAGCCACGTTCTATACTATTTTAGTTTGTTCTATACTATTTTATATAAGTTTTATGTAAATAAATGTTTTTATTTTTAAAAAAAAATTCATAAGTTTATGTCTGTTTTTATTTTATTTTAAATCATGATACATGAAAAAAACTATTTTTATTTTCAAAGAATTAGAAATTTAAATTAAATATTTAGAGCATAAAATATGAAATAAAATTTCTAAGGGGTAAAATAAAATAAATAAAAAAAAAACGAAAAAATTAAAAACAGAGAATTTCTCACATATGTCATGTAACTCTTCTTCCTCTCTTCGACAAACACAGATAAAGGCCAAAATAGATATTTTATCCTCCATTGTGTTACTTGCTTTATTTCTAACAATATAGTGCTATATGCTTAAATAACTTATCAAAATAGGTTATTCACCTAATTCACCCTTAATGATACTAATTCTTTGTTTTTAATGACATAAAATTGTGTTTGGTAAGGTATAAAAATTCGTATTTATATTTTAAAATAATGGTAGCCTGATTAAACCGTAAATATAAACATGGCATGATTGTTTGTATTAAATGTATCTCATAAATAAATACATTTATACAATAATTCTATATAATTCATCCGCAAAATCCAAACAAAATAATTCATTTTTGTCATTTGCAAATAATGTAAACAAATACTCCCTCCGTTTCGTTTTAGTTGTCGTTTAATGGTTTTTTACACAAATTAAGAAAAACATTTAATTTTCTGTTTTACCCTTTATTAATATATTTTATAAAAAATTTCATTGGCCAAAACTAGGCCTGGGCATTCGGATACCCGTTCGGGTTCGGTTCTTTTTTTTCGGGTATCAGGTCTATTCGGGTAGGGGGTCAAGACCCATTCGGGTATTCTAAAAATTCGGTTCGGGTTCGGTTCGGGTTCGGGTCGGTTCGGGTATTTTAATAAAAAAGCAAAATACCCGAAAATAACCAAAAATACCCAAAATATTTTTGGGTTCGGGTCGGGTTCGGGTTTTTAACTCATATATACCCAAATCTAACCGAAATACCCGATTTCTCGAAAATACATTGGTTACTCTGTACCCAAATATAACCAAAAATATCTAAATACCTAATATATTCGGATTTATGATTGTAAGTTTAGGTATTTCGGGTATTATAAATATAATATAACTAATATTTTTAGGTGTATATTTGTATTCGGGTACATTCGGGTACATTTGGGTATTGGATTCAGTTCGGGTTCGGTTCGGGTTTTTTTTGGGTAGGAGGTTAGGACCCATTCGGGTATTTTTAAAACTCGGGTTCGGGTTCGGTTCGGGTATTTTTCGGGTTTTTCTGTTCGGGTATTCGGTTCCGGGTATTTTGTCCAGGCCTAGCCAAAACATTAAAATAGTAGGGATAAAACTGGAATTTTCACCAAACATTTGCATTGAAAATCTAAAACGACAACTATTATGAAACAAAATTTAAATCCTAAAACGATAACTAAACTGAAACGGAGGGAGTACAAATGTTTTCTTTAGTTAACTAACGTACTGTATATTATCAATTTTCACAAAAAAAAATGTGTATCAATTAGTGAATACAGAGACAGTATCTATACGATTCCCAAACCGGCATGACTTAACTCCGGTCCAGTTTACCAAAGAGAAATTGAAACTACATAATTTAAGTACTGTATTTGCCATTTGCATCAAGATGAGCAATTAGAAAACCGGTCTCAACCAGTTAAGTAAAACCGGGCCAAAAAGGTCTGGTACATAGATGTCAATTACCATTGGTTTGGTTAAATAAACCGGGCGAGCAGTTCTGGTATGGTCGTTAGCAATCAATTGTCGTAGACTCGTAGTAACATGACAATGTGTTTAAAGTTTCAAACTTTTCCACATGGGTGTGTTAAAATTTCAACCATTTGACTTTGTTGTACATAGATACTGACCAAACTCTTTTATGTCTGTCTAACTAAAAAAGCTCGAATCAACATATATTTATTAATTTCTTCTCCTTAGACTTCACATGGACAACATCGTACATTTGATTCCTCTGTAAACCAGATATGTAGTTTTAAAGAGCTCACCAGTAATGAAGCACACTCACTCCTTAATCAGGTATTGGTTTATCGTGTACCCAGACCCCTTTGCTCATCAACCATTTTGGGGGTTTATATTCTGAAAGGGCTCGTTGCAGCAAATCATCTGGTTTGACTCCATTTCTTAACATATGTTCATACAACAATGCAGCTTCAACGAGTCTTCCAACCTTGCAACAACCACGGATAAGAATTGCGTAGGCAACAACATCAGGTAGTATCTTTGCATCTATGGCTTGATGGAATATATTTGTTGCTTCATCCACTCTTCCTCGTTTGCAAAGACCGTCGATTATGATGCTATAGCTGATTATGCTTGGAGATATACTTTTCTCTTGCATATCCTCAAAAAGCTTGAACGAACCTTCAATATCGATGGATTTTGAAAACCAATCCATTAGACAACCGTATGTGACAACATTCGGTTTGGGGCCCTTTTCCGCCATTATGGAGAACATCCTTAGAGCACCATCCATATCACTATTTTTACAGAGTGTGTGGATAAGTATAGTCAAAGTAACGGCGTTGGGTCCAAAAGGTGTAAATTTTAGCATCTCGAAAATCCTCGCTGCTTCATCTAACCTTCTCAAAGAGCAGTAGCCGCATATCATTGTGTTATATGTCACAATATCAGGCTCCATCTTTCCTTCAAGAAGATTATTGAAGAACTTAGAAGCCTCCTCCACGCTTTGTCCTTTGAAAAGCAAATTAATAACAACATTACATACTGCGATGTCCGCAGGAATTTTATTCCTCTGCATAAGATCAAAAAGCTGAAGCCCAATGGTTGGCTTCATATTCTTGCAGAATGCATCCATTAGGGTACAGAATGCTACAGCATCAGGTTCCAAACCCATTTTGAACATCCGGAAAAATAGAAATAATCCCTCTTTTAATCTACCTTCCATGACAGTCACCCTCATAAGCGTGGTAATTGTGGCTACATCAGGTTTTATACCATATATCCCCATTAATCTAAACACCTTCAAAGCCTCGTCACAACGGTTTAATCTACACCAGCCATCTATTAAGGAATTAAAAACTACAACATTGGGCCGGATCGACTGGCCTAGAGTCTTAACAGAGAATCTCAAAGCATGAAGCATGAGCCCTTGCTTACAAAGGCCATCGACAAGCACACCATAAATGACAACATCAGGTGGATAACCCATCTTTATCATATCCTCATACAAAGCAAACCCGGATCTCAAGTTCCCATACTTGCAAAAACCATCAATGAGACTGCTATAAGTGACAACGGATGGCTCCAGACCACGTTTCAAGATCTGACAATATATCCCAAAAGCCTCGTAAATCCTACCATCCTGGCACAAGCCTTTTATGAGAATGGTGTAAGTAACCACATTAGGGGAAATCCCTTGACACAACATTCTCTTGTACACATCAAACGCTGTTGTTAAATACCCGAATTTTACATATACATCAATGGTTGAACTGAAGACAACCACGTCCAACTTCACGCCTTTATGTAAGGCCTGCGAGAAAAGTTTATGACCCATTCCTAACATCCCAGCTTTGAAGTATCCATCAATCAGAGTACTGTAAGCGATCAAGTCTGGCGCTATCCCTCTCTGTTCCATAACTTTAAAAAGCTCGAATGCTCTATCCATTTCGCCTCTTTTGCAAAACCCATTAATCAACGTACAAAAAGTCACCACATTAGGTGCCGGACCACAATCCAACACCAAACTTAACATCCGAGAAGCTACCTCTATCTGATCAACCGAAAGACCCTTTAAAATCTTATTACAAGAAACTATATCAACACGAAAACCTCTCTCCATCACTAGCCGGTGAAAATCTAAAGCCTTTGTAACCTCTCCTTTTCGGAAAAGAGCATCCAACACAAATCCATGAGCACTCACACCAAAAGGCACAGTTCCTCCTCTACATAGTTTATCAAAACTATCAGCTATTAAGTCAATACGAGAAGCATCAATCAAAGAATTTAGCATCCTATATACAGAATC